AGTGTACCCACCTCACTACGCTGCTTATATGCCATTCGCTACAAAGTCAATGGGATTACGGATAGATTTTCCTGCTTCATCTTTGCCCTCTGTTCCCCTACCAGGTACCTGAAGGTGCCACAGACAAGCAGGTCCATATGTAAGAAGTGTGACAATATTTCCTTCTTTGCGACATTATCAGGCATTAAAGGTATTTTCTAAATACAACAGGTGAAATCCCACATCCGTTGTAGAATACAGACTCTAGATGCAAAGTGTGCAACGGGGGGCCTGTCTGCTCATGCTCAGTGGAGAAGGTTACCTTCAACACCAGAACATCTGGAGGGAGCACTGCAGGCATGAACCTCTGCAGAGTTAGGACACGGGGAATCAAGGATAAAACCCTGATGAATGGCAATATATGGTGCTGAGGATGAGGCCCATGTGTAAAAACACAGAACCAAAACAAACCAACAAAAGGCCAAACTCGGTGTCTCATGGACTAGGCAGAGGAAAAGTGAAGATAAAGAGTAATCAGGCTCTTTCTCTTCCGGTCCCAGGTGCTGCAGGAGCCGCAGGTTCAAGTCCAAGAACCACACCACACACAACCAGTTCCACAAATGCCACAGAAATGGCATCAAGAAACCCCAGTCACAAAGATACAAATTCTTAAGGGGGTTGATCCCAAGTTCCTGAGGAACATGTGCTTTGCCAAGAAGCACAACAAGAAAGGCCTGAAGAAGATGCAGGCCACCAATGCAAAGGCAGTGAGTGCACGTACAGAGGCCATCAAGGCCCTTGTGAAGCCTCAGGCCATCAAGCCCAAGATGCCAAAGGGGTCCAGCTGCAAACTCGGCCGTCTGGCTTTCATTGATCACCCCAAGCTTGGGAAGAGGATTCGAAGCTACATGGCCAAGGGTCGTAGTCTCTGCCAACCAAAGCCCAAGGTTCAGACCAAGGCAGAGGCCGCAGCTCCAGCTAAGCCCCAGGCTTCAGCTCCAGTTCGGGCTCCCAAAGGTGCCCAGGCCCCTTTGAAGGCCCCATAGAAAAGGCTCCTACCAGTGTAAAGACAGAAGGACTGCTGGGACACACCAACTACACACTATTTGCAGATGACCAGTGTCCCATGCTGTTTTTACAAATAAACTGGAGGCAAGATTTTAAAAAAAAATTTTAAAAAGTCTGAAAACAGAAAAACAAGAAGTCTGGGTTGTCATTAGAACAAAATAAGATTTCAAGAAAGAATAAGCTACAGTTGTTAATGCAGCAGAAAGGTGGGGTTCTTTCTTTGGAAGGGTGAGGAATGCCTCTGGCAGCCTCTGTGCAGAAGATGTTTAAAAAAAAAGAGAGAGAGAGAATGAACCATGAGAAGATATAAGAAGATAAGAAACCCCCGAGACCTCAGCACTTGCTTCTAAATCAGAGACACTTGGGCACAGCTCAATGGTGCTGGGAAAGAAAGAGTAAAGGAGGAGGCTGGAGCTCCCACAGAGGGGAGAGGGGACACCATTCAGGACAGGGGCACTGGGACTCTTCCCCTGTGACAGGGGAGGAACAACAGTGTCTGTGAGTGGAGAGATCCAGGAACAGGAAGTTCTTTCTGACTGTTCTGGTGAGACCCAGGACCAGTTCACTGAAGAAAGAGGACTGTGTACCACTGTTATCCATGTGTGGAATCTTTTTTTCCTTCTGTGACTTCTTGAAGTCGGAGGATAGCAGGTCTAGAAGCATGATTCTCAGAGACAGTTCCAATTCTGTCTTCTGAGAAAAGTTCCAAGAATTCTACGACGTCTGCCTCTAAAAAAGTAATTAGGGCAGCCTCAACTCTAACACTGAGAGACAGCACAGTTATAATTACTACCACAAGGGTCAGGTGTGGCTGGAACATCACGTTTACCCTTACTATTGATCCAATGTCACCATAAGCATCTTTAAATTTTCCCAGGGATATGTAAGAATCTAGACCTTTTATGACTTTCTCTTCTTTCCTTCAGACTGTGCCCTTCCTCGTACTTTATAAAAACAATGAACACTACTTTCCCTCACTCTAGTCTCCACAGGAGAGGCCACACACCTTATGCCTTCTAATCTGTGGAGACCATTCATGAAAATCTACTTTGGTCCCATGATCCTCATGAGAGTTGAGGGCAGAGGCCTTTTACTTTCAATACTGAACAGGTTCCTACTATGGTTTGAACACAGTTAATCACCACCCAAGTGCTCATGTGGAAAGCTTGCTCCTTGGCATGGCAGTATTTGGAATCTTTATTACAGTATAGAACTTTAATAGTGGTTAAGAGTTACATCACTGAAGGAGCTGCCCCAGGAGGAAGTGATGTAGTTCTCCTGGGACTGCTCTTTGGAGAAAGCTGTTGTGAATGAGCAATCACGGTCTCTTGTTATCTGTACCACTTCTCTTGCCACATGATCTCCCCTTCCCACAGATGCACCTCTGCTATTGGTCTGCCATCTTCCATGAGGTCCCCACCAGATGAACAAATGCCTGCATCACGTCTTTGAATGTCTGGACTCTAAGCTAAATGTTTCTTTTTTTTTTTTTTATTCATTACCCAATTTCAGGTGTTTTGTAATAGTAAACCAAAACTGAATAATTCAGATATTAAGAGTTAAATAAGCAACTTCATCGTTTTTTTAGGAAGACACATGGGATTCAAAGATATCTGTGATTCTCAACAGCAGCTATCTGTTCTGCCTCTTCATACTCCACTTATAACCGTCTCTGAAACTCTCAAAGGTGGGCTGGTTCCTTCTGTCCTCTGATTGTTTTCAAATTCTTAAAATTGTGCTACAATTCTAACATTGTGCCTGCTGCCAACAGGTCTCCCCATCCCTCTCTCACAGTGAGGAACCCAAGTGCTTCTGAAGCAGCAATGCTGCTCACACATCAGGGACACACAGCCAGCAGCTATGATCATAAGAGAACCCTGCTCATACGCCATAGAGGGTACAAGAAATCACTACCCAGGGAGCTTAGCAGTGTTTCAGGCTTCTGCCTGAAGTGTGAAAACCCATACTATAAAGTCTTACATTTCTCTCAAGCAAGCAAGAATGAAATTCTCCTCCACAAATCCACTAGGATTGCTTTCCTGTGGCTGCAACAAATTGCCAGAGACTGATGGCTTAAAACAATAGGAATGTGTTATCGTGCAGTTCTGGGGGCTTTAGTTTCAAAACGAATCTTACTAGGATAAAATAAAAACACCTGCAGGACGTGTTCCTCCCAGAGGCTCTCTGGGGAAGCAGCCATTTCCTTGCCTTCTCTTCAGCTTGAGAGGCCACCTGCCTTCCCTGACTAAAGGATCTCTTCCAGCGATGCACCAGTCCACCCTCTGTTTCCACGGTTACATCTCTCTGATTTCCCAGCTTTCCTCTTTCACTGATGAGGACACCTATAATTGAATCATCTTCCGACAGATAAGGTCTGTGTAGTTTTAGCAAGGTAGTCAAGTTTTCCAGGCAAGGTCTGGCATCAACCAGGAAACTGTATTTGTCTCTACTAGGAAAATATTACTAATAAAATATGAATGCAATTTGAGGTAGCTTCCAAAGCCTCAGGTTTACTCATTCTGTACATATTTACAGTTATGCAATAATGACCCGTGGTTTATATGGGACAGAGCTCAGTGGATCTATCAATATGTCTGTACCCTGTCAAAACGAACATCAAGACCTATTTGCTTTGAGCAATGCACTTCTCTCTGTGCAGATCTACCAAAATTCTCAATGTTTATCTGTATGTGTGAAATCCTTCTGTGAATAGAATAGATTGTGAAACTAGCTTAAAAAACATGTTTCACTATTAGAGCACCCACTCCCCTGCCTCTTCTCACCCTGAGGAATCCCTAGGGCCACATTCTGCACTGAGTTCATCCCCAAATGGTCATGGGAAGCCAGCAGACCTAAAGGAAGAGGAAGAATTCTTCATTTCACACAGCTACACAGGTCAGAAATAAATGGCCAGTGTCGTAGTTAGGATCTTACCACTATGAACAGACACCATGACCAAGGAATCTCTTATAAGGACATTTAATTGGGGCTGGCTTACAGGGTCAGTCCATTATCATAAAGGTGGAAGCAGGAAGGCATGATGCTGGACAAGGAGCTGAGAGTTCTGGCATCTTGATTAGAAGGCAACCAGGAGAAGACTGACTCTTCCACACTGGGTAGGGCTTCAAAGCCCACCCCCACAGGGTCATACTTCCTCCAACAAGGCCACACCTCCTAATGGTACCACTCCCTATGGACTGAGCATATTCAAACCACTATAGCCAGTCCAGGCATTTCTAAGATGAGCCTTTGAGCATTTTTGCATAAAGTATTTATCTAAGGTTAAAACCTTTCCTAGACTAAATCAACAAGTATTCTTTATTCTTCAAACTCCAAAATCGGCAGTGTGGCAAGCTTCATAGCAGACAGGACCATCTCCTGAGCTACCCAGTGGACAGCCGACCCTGGAAGGAAAGGTAGACTGTCCCTACACCACCATACTGAAGAATGGAAACCTATACTTGTTTCCTTTTCTAACAGTCCGAGGCACCCTTAAAGCTTCGGAAGGAGGCAGGACACACACACATATTCTCCTTACTCAGTTCCTTTCTTAAAAGGCAATCATGTCTGTCCCCTCCAGAGACTCTTTCCTCCCAACACAGTGAGAATAGCACACACAGAAAGCCCTCGCTACAAACTGGTGGCAACCATGGAAGCCACATGAGCCACCTGTAAGAATTTCATGCCAAGAAGTGGTGAAGCCAGCAGCCCTACAGACTTTTGCAAAGAAGAAAAAAGTACAGAGAAATTATCAGTGGAAATTATCATGGGAGAGTGAAGTTCCCAATGTCGTTTTCAGTTCCAAAAACCTAAACATCTAGAATCACACCCAGAAAGGGAAGAGGGGCGGGGAGGCAGAGACAGAGACAGACAGACAGAGAGACACAGAGAGACAGACAGAGACAAGGAGATATTTATAACCAGACATTTTCACGTGAACTCGCTGTACTCACTGTCTGATGGCTTCTGTCACAGTACCGCAGCCCAAAATAATCTATCTCCACGAGGTTTATGTGACGGAAAACATGGTCAAGGACGACAGAGCCTTTTGTTGACTTCTGCAAAACAATCCACAGATCACTTCTTAACAAGGTGTCGAGTCTTTTTCCACGGGATGCAATCAAATTCTCATCTCTTATGAGCTGCCCTCTCAGGGGAACAACCTTGTTAGACCACGCTATTCTCTCCCGGCTTTCCCTTAGGTACAAAGACAGATGTGCTAAAATTACAGTATATTAAAGAAACAGCCTTTGAAAGTCACCTTAAACTTTAGGAGCATTAACTTAATACAAAGTCCTCTGCTACAGGATTACAAGTTATCTCCAGGGTGAAGTGCTTCTTTAATTTTTAATTTTATATGTATAGGTGTTTTGTCTGCATGTATGCCTGTGTTCCATGTGCATGCCTAGTGGCAACAGAAACCAGTGAGAAGGTATCAGATCTCCTGTAACTGGAATTATAGATAGTTGTGAGCCACTCGCCATGTGAATGCTGGGAATTGAACTTGGATGCTCTGGAAGACCAGCCAGTGCTCTTAACCACTGAGTTATCTTTCTAGCCCCGAAATGATTCTTTAAATAAAGGTAGCCCTCTATGTAAAGAACATTCAATAAATTTATTAAACATTATGGAAGCTTAAAATTCCCACCATTCTTTCCACTGGAAAGTGATTTCTGCTATGGTGGCAGGCACACACATGCCAGCTGCCACATGGTGCAGGAACACATGAAAGACACTCAGAGGCACACCAGCTACTATGCGATGGTGGACTGGCTGAAGACTCCCAGAGACAGGCAGGTGTGTGTTCAAAAGACACCAGAGGCACCAATGATAAGCAAGAACATGGTGGAAAGATGGGAGAGAAAGAGAAGGAAACAGTGTTGCACTCTGAAGACAGGCAGAAGTAGAGAAAGGAGAGTGGTGAGAATCAGCCGGATGTGAATAGCTTGCCCTGCCACCTGAGGTAGCCATGGTAAGGTCCCGTCCCATGCAACTGCTGAGAGCCATGTTTGGGTCTGTGGTCCTGCAGTATCAGGGGTCTGTGTTGATGTCTGTGGCCCATGCTACCACAAAGACCACGCCGATGTCCCTGGTCTGGGCTGCCTCCTATAGCCATCTCAGTGTCTGAAGGCTATGCATAATTGGCCTTGAATCTTACTGGTTGCAACACTCAGGAGAGTGGGTAGTGCACCTCCTCTGGGCAGCACAGTAAAGCTGGCCCTGGTGTTGTGGGTGTGAGAGCCTGCCCAAAGGTATTAGCATGAGAGATCCTGCCCCACACCTCACCTGGGCAGAGTGGGAGAGTCAATATCCAGGGCAGGAGAGTGGGAGAGCTGACCCTTGCTGGTTGCACCACTTGAGAGAGCCCCCTCCCTCACCGGGCTCAGTACAATCGGCCCTGTAAGTGTATGCATGGAAGAGCCACGATATGGCCATGGGAGAGATAACCCCTCCCCTTGCCTGCTGCAGGCAGGAGAGCTGGCCCAGACTACAGCTGTGGGCAGTTTGGGAGAGCTGGTCCTAGTGTCATGGGTCCTCTCACCAGCTGCAGCACTCAAGACCCATACCTCACCTGAGCAGCAGAGCTAGCCCTGGTGGCAGGAGCATGGGAGAACTGGCCTGAGGGTGTGACAGTGGGAGAGCTGTCCCTGTGCCGAGCCAGGGCAGTGCTGGAGAGTTGGCGTGGTGGCACGGATGCTAACCTGGATGGTGTAAGCACAGGAGAGCCAGT